CCCAGAGACAGAAGAAAGGTCGCTGTCTACGTGTCTCCCATTTCTCGTGGTCTCTTGAGCAGACTATTAACTGCATGGCCCCGTGATGTGGATTACTGTCCCTCTGCGCGAGGCTACTGCCACCAGACTCATTTTGCTTAACAACCTCAGAATTGACTCACAATTGGACTCTGAAATGAAAGGCTAATTGAGTCAGTCTGCTGCACAGAGCATAACCCCGACTGAGGATAAAACTGTATATACCGCTCCGAGCAGAGCACTGGACAGCCGGGTGTTGCAGAGATCAGCAGCATAGATCCTGTCCCCAAGACAAGCCCGGCCAGTGGGGAGAATGGGAACTTCAAAGTAACTGTTAGCACATGCAGCTTTGCTAAAACACTACCATCCCCACGGTCCCTTCGTGCTGGACCCAGCTTCCTGTGACGTTTCTGTTTGGAGACGGGGTGGTCACATTATAGGATTGTGTTTTACAGAGACAAAAACTAAAGGAGGGAGAAGTTTACACAGTGGTGCGATGGAGCCAGCTCATTACAGGCTGATGGGAAATTGTCAGGAATTTTGTGAGTTGGTTAACGTCTCAGTGGTAGCTTGTTAAGTGCCCTCAATGGGAGTATTTACACCATGGTAATCGGCACACACCATAAAACAGGGCTCTGTGTTGTTCTTGGAGAACAGTTTTTAAATATTTACCAGCACAACTCTGTTTAATAACCAGTACGACGCTGTCAATCCCACCCATAAAGCATGCGTCATATCTTGGGAGTCAGTTCCAGTCCTTCCTCTCCCATACCCAGTCACCTTTGGCCCAAAGGAAATAGAGTAGCACCAAATAACTTCCGGTCTTCAGTACCTTCCAAAGAAAGGAAACAGGCCTCCTCCAGAGATGCTTCCTTTCCAAAATTTTCTTGTATTACCAGCATAGCCCTCTGAAATCTTTTTCATATTTAATTTTTTTAATTAAAATGTATTGGGGTGACATTGGTTAATAGGATCACATAGGTTTCAGGTGTATATTTCTATGTTACAAGATCTGTATATTGCACTGTGTGCCCACCACCCTGAAATCTCTGAAAGCAATGTGTGCAGATGGTTATACATATTGACACAGCAGCTGAATCTGTGTCCATTCCATTGGCAGAATGATGTATCAGGTGCTTGTCCCTGAACTCGAACAACTCACAGTCTGGAAGCCGAGGGAAACACATAGAAAGATTATAATAATATAGTGGCTAGTTCTTGATAAAAAGGTAAGAAACGCTGCTAATAAAAATGCTAACTAACATGAGTGACATATTTAGTATATGCTAGGTATGTCTTTACATGCTTTTTATTTTTTCCAGACAACTCTAACAAGGGAGGGACTGTTATTTTACTCCCCTAATGTTATAGATAAGAAAGCCACAGCCTAGCAAGTTTAGACTAGAGAAAAAGTGAGTTGTAGAAGCAGGATTGAAAACCACACATTCTGATCCCCACAACTTAAGCTGTACCATGACTCAGCTGCAGAAGCTGGCTCAGGGAGGCCGTGATATGGGGACTGAGACTTGGAGGACGTGTTGGATCTATGGGGTAAAGGTGGAAGAAGGCACTCCAGACAGAAGGAAGAGGCATGTGATTGAGTAACCATGCTCATAACAATCCCAGGGTAACAGTGATGTGGTATGTGTCCGTGCCAGGCGCGGATGTGAGTGCTGTATTCACACATTTTATTCTACAGCAGCCTTAGTAGGTGACACCATGAGCGTCCTTTTACAAATGAAGAAACTGAGGCAAAGAGGAGATGAGTAACTCCTTGCAGGTGGCAGAGCTGTTTGGCAGAGCTGGAATGTGACCCCATTCAATGGGACTCCAGAGCTGGAGATCATCCTCCATCACCCCACTTAACACAGGCACCAGCCAGAAAACTGTGTCATTCACTGGGGAGGGCAGGGCTAGCAGGATGCAAGGGCTGAGTGACAGGAGGTGGCGGGGGCAAAGTTGCAAAGAGCCTTGAATGATGCACCCAAGCAACTAACTGAAAAGCAATGGGAGCCACAGAAGGATTTTAAACAGGGAAGTAACACGGTCCGATTTGCATATTAGGAAGACTCTTGGGTCTCTCAGTGGTTCAGCAAAGCTTTGCTTAATATCTGCTCTGGGCCCTCAGTGTTCTAGCAGCGATGGGGAGGCACGAAACTGGCCAAAGATGGGAGGAATGTTACTTAGGAGACTGCAGCCAGCGGTGAACCAGAGGGAAG